TGGCCGAGGCGCGGGACATCCCGGTCCTGCGGCCCCCGCGGCACAAGTTGGACGCCCTGTGCCGCTACCAGGTGCACCAGGGCGTGTGCATGGAGGTGAGCCCCCTGCGGCCCCGGCCTTACGCGGAAGCCCGGGAGGCCGCCCCAGACCACCACCACCACCACCGGCCACTGTGGCTTGTCTTGGAGGGGCTCCAGGATCCCCGGAACCTTGGGGCTGTGTTGCGTTCCGCTCACTTCCTCGGAGTGGACAAAGTCATCACCAGTCGGAGAAACAGGCACGGAGGTCCCTTATTCCCCTGTGTCCCCAACTTGGAGGGTGCAGCCTTGGTCCTCGGGTGAACCCTCTCCCCCGGCCTCCCCATCGCCAGAACTCTCACCCTTAAGCCTTGGGAGGCCGAGGGGGTGGTGGGCAGGGCACCGGGCTTGAGGTGACTCCGTTTAAAGTGGGGAACGGGGAACTCTTGCAGCTGCCCGCTCACGCCGGTAGTCAGCAAGGCCAGCGCGGGGGCTATGGAGGTGATGGACGTGTTCTCCACGGATGACCTGCCCGGTGTGTTGCAGGTAAATGGGGAAGCCTGCCTGGCTTGGCCTCTTTCAAGGGAATGGAAAGGGTTAGCTTGAAGCCCATCGGAAAAGAGAGGTCCCAGTTTTTAAGTACCTCAGTCAATCCTCTGCCCTTTCTGCAAGGATTAGGGCTCAGGGTCGCTCTCCCTGCTGAAGAACTCCTCAGTTATGCGCGTGCTGCTTTAGGTAGCTGGTGGGTAGGAGACCTGGATTCCCCGGGTTAGGGGAAAGCTTGAAAGGATCTTTGAACGAGGGATTTGTGTTCCTGGTGAGACTAGGAAGGGGCCAACTTCAGGAAGACTTTCTTGGGGCCCGCTGGAGTCTTTTCTGTGTTTCTCTTACTGGGGCACAAGGGGGCAGTATTGCCTCACATTTGGTTGCCCCCTTGACCATTCTTGACTGTTGAAAGAAGTTTCTTCTGCAAGTGGGGGTGGAATGCTTTGTGTTTTGTCTAGGAGAATGCTGTCCATATGCAAGCCATACATAATCTTAGGTTTTCTAGTAGCCACGTTGAAAATATAAGCAATACACAAGTGAAATTAGTTTTAGTATTTTACCCAGTATATCCAAACTCATGGTTCCAACATATGGATGGGCATTTAAAATATTAATGTATTAATGTAACATTTTACAGCTGAGTTAAAAAATTCTCACATGCAGCACATATCAATTTGGACTAGTCATGTGTCAATTACTCGGTAATAACATGCAGGTTGTGACTATTGTATTGAACAACATACATCTAGAGGTGTTTTCTGGATGTACCTTCTCATAGGGAGCCCCCATCAGGCAAACTGTGGCCAAGCCCTTGAACAAGTACCTCCTGAAGAAACAAAAATGAGCAGGGTGAAGTGCTCACTTGTAATCTACCAGCTTTTTGGGAGGCTAAAGCAGGAAGGTCATGAATTCAAAGCCAGCCTGAGCTATATAGAACAATCCTGACAGAGACAAAAACAAGGGCCTATTTGGAAGGTGTTGTAGGAAGTTCATGGTCTGAGGTTGACTCTGGCAAACAAAGCAAAAAGCTTAGGGGTGTGGCTCAAGTGGTAGAGCCCCTGCCTGGCAAGCAAGAGGCCTGAATTTCCTAGTACTGTCAAAAAAAAGGGGGGGAAGGAGGCTTGGAAGGTGGCTCAGTGGTAGAGTGCTTGCCTTGCATGCATGAGGCCCTGGGTTCGATTCCTCAGCACCACACAAGCAGAAAAAGCCGGAAGTGGCGCTGTGGCTCAAGTGATAGAGCTCTAGCCTTGAGCTGAAGAGCTCAGGGACAACACTCAAGCCCAGAGTTCAAGCCCCATGACCAAAAACTGACAAAGGAAAAAAAAAGTGGGGGGGGCGCATTTTTGAAAGCTTTGCATGTTTTAGTGAAAGCCAGATCCTTTCACTGGCCTTTGAAGTCCTAGGTGTCCATTGTTCTGTTTGGACAGCCTGCCTGCTGGCTGCTATACTAATCATCAGACATGCCGGGTAGGCATGGGACTTTGCATATGTAGATCTCCATGCCTGAAATATCCCCCTAGCTTTTTATAAGCTGCCCCTCATCATCTTGAAAGTCTACACTGAAATGTCACTTCAAGGAGGCCTTCAAGCCAGATGCTGGTAGCCCATGCCTATAATCCTAGCTGCTTAGGAGGCTGAGATCAGAGGATTGAGGTTCAAAGCCAGCCTGAGAAGGAAAGTCTGTGAGACTCATTTCCAATTAACTACTAAAAGGCCAGAAGGAGAACTGTGACTGACACAGGTGGTAAAGTACCAGTCTTGAGCAAAAAAAAAATAAAACACCTAAAGGATAATGCCCAGGTCCTGAGTTCAAGTCCTAGTACTGGTCAAAAAGCAAACAAAAAATACTTCAATCATCCTTCCACAAGTTTGGGATTTTATTCTGAGTTTTGTTTTGGCTCTACCCCAGATCCTAGACTAGAATCTGGTCTGGTTGAGGTGCTTAGCAACTTGATTAAATTGAATGGCTCTTGATGAAATTTGAGTGAATGCACACATGGCAAGACTAAACTACTTGCCCAGGGCTCTGATGATTTTGATGACCTAGAACATGATGTCTTTCCTCTTCCAGGCCAAAGCCCAGCAGGGCTGGCTTGTGGCTGGCACAGTGGGCTGCCTGGGGCCTAAGATCCCTCACTCTTCTCAGATCCCCATCATGAACTGCTTGGAGTTTGTCTGGGACCGGCCTACTCTCCTCGTGCTGGGTAGGTGCGTGCTCCTGCTTTTCTGTGGTCAGAGGCTCATTTCCCAAGAACCTCCAGCTGGGGTTCTCTAACCCTCTGACCCCTGGCCTGCAGGGAATGAAGGCTCTGGTCTGTCCCAGGAGGTGCTGGCCTCCTGCCAGCTTTTGCTCACCATCCTGCCTGGGCGTCCACTGCCTCTCGGGCTTGAGTCCTTGAATGTGTCTGTGGCTACAGGTAAGTGTACTTTTATTTCTTGCTAATGTTAACTTGTGTGTCAAAGAACCTTATTTATATTCATGGGCCTGCTTCTCCTCTGCCTCTCTTCCCTCTCCTTGTGCAGGAATTCTTCTTCACGCCATCTGCAGCCAGAGGAAAGGTCTCCCTGTAGAGGAGGAGAGAGGGCAGCTTCTCCAGGACCCTCAAGATCCTTCGGCTATGTTTGAAAGAGTCACAGTGGCTCAGCACTCAGCATTGTCTTCAGAGTCAGAAAAACAGAGCCCAAGTGGGGGCTGACTTGGCCTGTCTGAATTGGTCCTGTGCTGGAGTTGGGATGGGTTGCACGTATCTCCACGGGCTCTCAAGATTCTGCCAGAGTGTGTGTCCAAGCCTTTGTTAAAGATGTTAATTTAATTCCAGGCTAGGATGGGATGGAGGGTTTCTGTTTTCCCAGGCCTGGATGGGAAAGCAAGGCATCAGAAGGAAGCTGGACAGCCCAGGCCAGAGGGCTGTGGAAAATGAGGGCTTGTGGATGTGGAAGAGGCCCAAAGACCTTCCTGTGGGGTAACAAGTGCACCCTTTCCCCCAGGCTTGTTGAGGATCAAATAAAACCACCTGGTGTTCAGCTGACACTCAACAAATGGGTATTCTCTCTGGTTCTTCCATTAGGTGGCAGCCTTGCTCTTTGGTCCACAGTTTTCTTATGGAAGCTTTTGCAGACGCCTAGAGGGAAGACTCCTGGCTGCAGCCTTACTAGAAAATAAGCACTCCTTACCCCAACACACACACACACACACACACACACACACACGCACACACACACACACCACTACCACCACCACCACCACCTTAGCACTCCTTACCCCAACACACACACACTACTACCACCACCACCACCTTGTCACTTAGTGACTGTCAGTCCTGCTCTGTGGAAGGGATTCCTGACCCAAAGCCCTCACCTTTAAGGCTCTGGTGGTAAGGAGGGCATTGCTGTTTGTTGTGCAACCCAGGCAGGTTCAGCCTCAGTCAGCTCACAGGTGGATCAGAAGCTGCAAGTGGTGTCCTCCATCTTGGCTGCACATCGGAGCCCACAGTAACAGCTCTCAACAAATAAACATACATGAATAGATGAAGCCAACACTGCCACCAGACTGAGTGCCACACAACCAGTAGAATTTTATTATTATTTTCCTTCTAAGTCATTCTCACTGTATAGCTCAGGCTGTCTTGGAACTTAGTCTAAGCTAGCATCAAACTCAAGAGCCTCCTGCCTTAGCCTTTCAAGTGCTTGGGGTTACAAGTGTGTTACATCATGCTCCAAGCTAAGCATTAGCATAAACTTCCAAGGCCGAAAACCACTAGAGCATAGTTTTTCATCCTCATCTTTCTGGAGTTTGGGTCAGGCTTTTATTTTTTTCCTTTTGGTGCTACTACTAGGAGACTCCTATTTCATAAACTACTCAGAAAAATGCTGGAAGTGGTACTGTTGCTCAAATGGTGGAGCACTAGCCTTGAGCAGAAGACTTCAGAGACAGTGCCCAAGCCCTGAATTCAAGCCCCATGATGGGAAAACAAACAAAACCCACCTAGTTGATTATTGTGCTGCTGGGTTCAAGAATCACAGACCTAAATGGATGTGGTGGCCATGCCTATGACCCCAGTGCTCTGGAGGCTGAGGAGGAGAGTTATGATATTGAGGCCAGCCTATGTTAAATAGTGAGACCTGGTATCAAACACCACCACAACAATAAAAAGGCAGAATTGATGGCCTTTGAGCTAACTGCTCATGTGGGGAAAGAGTTACATATTCATTTACACCTAGAAGCGCCTTCACACCTGTGCTCTTTGAGCTCTTATAGGAAAGCTTGGGTCAGGAGGACATTTGAGCTTTCCTCTTAGGGTCTTTGGAAGATGCAGGCCTCAATCCTGGCTCCTTAGGATCTTACCTAGATACCTCTTGGCCTCCTCATCTGTAAGACAGGCATAATGCCAGTAATACTGGCTCATTGGACCTCTCCCAGTAGGAAAATTATGAAATAATGAGAGAATATCAGTAAGAATTTTCTGTTGGGCTGGGACTGTAGCTGTTCACCCTTGGACTAGCACATAATGCAAACGTTGTGTGACACATAATTTTATGTGTCACCTTCACTGGGTCATGGGGGTGCCCAGCTATTTGATTAAACATTGAGCTTAAATCAGACTGAGGGTAGATTGACCAAGCTAATGTAGGTGGGCTACCACTAGTCAGCTGATGGCCTGAATAAAACAAAAGACTGTCCTCCCAGATAAGAAAATTCTTTCTGATTTCAGACTCAACTGAAACATCCATTTTTTTTTCCCCTGTTCTTCATCCTGCTGACCTTTAGCCAGGAAGTATGCCATGGGCTCTCCTGTTTCTCACACCATCTACTCTCCTGGGGCTTGCCTACCTCTACAATATGTGTCAGTTCCTCACAGTCAATGTACACACACACACACACACACACACACACACACACACACACACACACACACAGCTCTGATGAACATGAAAGCAGGTGTCCCCATACTCCTGCATGTGGGGTACAGAGCTGCACTCTGTACTCTGTTCTCTAGGAATAGGCCCCCCGCATGGAACCTGCAAGCCAGTGGGGTGAAGTCTGAAGAGAACAGTGGTTAGGAGCAGGGCCCTGGCTGTTAGCCCCTGTTGGCTTGCTAGTGGTGTAAATGTGGGCATACCCATTAAATCCCAGGCTTGTCATTCTCTCTAAGGTGGGGTGACAGTAGTTTCCATTCTGAGAGAGTGGTTCACGGGTTGGGAATGTGGCTTAATGGTAGAGTGCTTGCTTGCCTAGCATGCATGAAGCCCTGGGTTCGATTCCTCAGAACCACAGTAACAGAAAAAACTGCAAGTGGTACTGTGGCTCAAGTGGTACAGTGCTAGCTTTGAGCAAAAGAAGCTCAGGGACAGTGCCCAGGCCCTGAGTTCAAGCCCCAGCCTGTGCTTCTGAAGGAAGCTCTCAGCCCCAGGCCTGAGGGAGGATGGTGGCTGTCCTTGGCACTGGGGCTGGCCTCAGTTTCCCCATAGGCTCTAGGATCCCTTTGAGCTGCAACACATCATGATTTACCCTGTTACTCCTGACAGGAATTGGGGAGGGACGAGGTTGAGGGATGTTTGGAGGCTCATTTTTGCCAGACTCTCCTTTTTCCCTCCCTCTTCAGCAAGATTGAGGGCTGACCAGCATCCCCCACAGCTGAATAGAGGTCACACCCTTAGTTCCCCATCCTAGGCTGGAATCTATTTTTAGCAACAGGCTAAATTGTCAAACCTTTCTCCCAGCAGTTTGAGGTCCTAAATAAGACACTCGCCCCTCCCGTCCCCACCCTCCCACTAGCTCCTGCAGGGCCAGGCACCAGGGATCCCCACAGTTTGTAAATGTAATCAACCTTGAGGTCGCTCACTTCCACAGGTGCAATTAGCATGCCCATCTGCTAATCCCTGATTAATGATGTTTACAAACAAGGCACTCCACTCCCGGGGCTGCTACTCCTTCTTGTCACTGTTGGGAGGTGGGGGTCTTTGCAGAAACCCCTTCCTACTGGAGGCCTATTGCCAGCATCCCTGGCGGTGGGCACAGCTGGAGGTCTGCCACCCCCCATTCTCATTGCAAACGTGTGGAAGCAGAAGCCTGGGACAATCAGGAGGGGAGGGGGCCGAGGTTGGGATTTTGCTCAGCCTTCCTCCTGCCCAATTCTGCAACTTCAAGGACCAGACACAATGGGCATGCAGCCTTTATTCCTTACCCCAGCACCCTCCAGGGGTGGGGTCCTTGGTTGGGCATATGTCAGGGTCAGGTCTCCAAAAGCACAAAGAACACTAACCTCTTGGGGATGGGAGGAAAGGGCCTCGCTATGAATCCCAGGCTGGTCTGAAGTTTGACATGCTTCTATCTCAACCTCTGGAGTGCTGGGATTACAGGTATGCACCATCATACCAGGCCAGAGAACAGATTTGTGAGCTAGTAGTCCTGAGTCCCAATGTTGGCTGGCTTTAGCCAAATAGTTTGAACTGGATGAACCTCAATTTCTTCTGCAAAAGAGAGATAAAAATAGTACTTACCATCATGTGTAAGGTTTCTAGGTGAGGATAATAGGGTATGTGGGAAAGACAGTGCAGCATTGGGGATACTAGGTACTCAAGAAATGTGAGTGTGTGTGTGTGTGTGTGTGTGTGTGCTGCAATGAAAATACTAATTAGTGATGCGATTGAATGGCGGCTTCTGAAGCTAGGGGTATGTATGTAAAGCCTCCCCCCTCCCCCCTCTCTAGGGAGAAGGGCAGGTCCCAGCTCATTACTGGTGGGGGCTGAGGTAGAGGTGTCAGATTGGAATCACTACTGGGCCTGTTTGCAGCTTCCCTGTTTCATTAACACCTTCCTGGTGGTCTTGGCCTTATCTCACTGTGGGGGGCAAGGGGTGCTCCAGAAATGTCTGAATGCCTCCTACACAGCCTCCAGCCCACTACCCTCCATTTCCAGGCGTATGTCCCAGAATTCTACACAGGGGTGGGGTTTACAACCAGGAAGCTGTCTCCCTTTCCTGAAGGTCCTACAAACATGCTAGAGGGATCCATCTTTTATTCTCTCTCACCTACCTCTAATCCTTAGGTTCAAGGCCCCCTGTACCCAAAGCCTGCAATTTTTCCTTCCTTTGCAATGCTGCCTTGACTTGGTCTTCAATCCTCCTCTCCCCTTCTTAGCTGGATGGTCTCAGGCAAGCCACTTATCATTTGCTTTTTTTCTGTACTAGAGGTGCCACTCTGGGCAAGGGGGACCTTAGTATAGCCCAGACATGTGTGTGTGTGTGTGTGTGTGTGTGTGTGTGTGTGTGTGTGTGTGTGTGTGTGTGCGCACGCATGCCCATACTGGGGCTTGAATTCAGAACCTGGGTCTCTTGCTTAGCTTTTTCCCCTCAAGACTGGTGCTCTATTACTTGAGCCACATCTCCATTTTCGGCTCTTTGCTTGTTAATTAAAGATAAGAGTCCCATGGACTTCCTGTTTGATTGGTTTTGAACCATAATCTTCAGATCTCAGCCTCCTGAGTAGGTAGGATTATAGGCATGAGCCACCAGTGCTCTGCACAGCCCAGAAATTGAATTGGTAACAATGGTTACTTGACTATGAGCAAAACTGCTCTCAGTTAACCTTTGGCCTGGTGCTGGTGGCTCACGTCTGTAATCCTAGCTACTCAGGAGGCTGAGATCTGAGGATCACAGTTCAAAGCCAGCCCAGGCAGGAAAGTCCATGAGACTCTCCAATAAACCATCAGAAAACTGGAAGTGGTGCTGTGTCTTAAGTGGTAGAGCACTTGCCTTGAGCTGAAGAGCTGAGGGACAGCACCCAGGCCCAGAGTTCAAGCCCATGACTGACAAAAAAACCCCCAGAAACCCAAAGCCCCCAAACCCCACCACCTATCCTTTGAAATATGGAACCTTGTTTAGTGTGCCTGGGTAGGTGCAGGGAGAGATTCAGGGCCATCAGCATGTCCCAAGAAACAGGAAAAGAGCTGAGCTCCATGCCTTTCCAAATTGTCCTGCTTATTGCCCAGCCTGCAAAGAAAGGGTCCCTTTGCTGAGTT